TTTTTTTTTTTTTTTTTTTTTTTAAATCAGCAGGATGTTATGACACAGAGATTAGACCTTGAGGTTGAAAAACTTCTGGTTGGAGCCTAATGCTACTAATGGTTCTAATGGGGGAAAACATTCAATTCCTACATTCAACAATTTATTCATTCGACGATTGGTGCTATGGATATGTCAGGGAACACAACAAAGTCCTTGCTCTCACAGAGTTTACATTCCAGTAGGAGAGAGACAGGCAATAAGAACTCAACATACAATATGTTGATGGATAATTTGGTATGCTATAAAGAAAAAGAAAGCAGGGACTGGGAATAGGAAGTGTGCAAGGGGGTGATTTGAAACAAGGTTTTCAGGGAAGTCTTCTCTGATAAAGTGGCATTTGGCAGAGACCTGAAGAAAGTGAGAAACTGAGTCATGTGTCTATGGAGGGGAAGAATTTTCCAGGCATCAGGCACAGAAAAGTCAAAGGCTCTGGGGTTTGAGAGTGTGTGGCATGTTTGAGGAACAGCCAGGAGGTCAGTGTGGCTGAAGTGAAGTGCTAAAAGGAGAGTGGGAGCAGAAGGGGCCAGAGAGGAACCCAGCTGCTGATCGTGCACAGTCTGTGGGCCATTGTAAGGGTCTGACTTTTATCTGTAGTTAGATGGGAAGATATTGGAGGTTTTAGAGCAAAAGATATTATGATACAACTTCAATTTTGAAATAACCACTGGCATTGGGTACAGAACAGAATGTATTCTGCGGGAATAATAATTTGCAGTGGGAATAATAAGTAGTTGAATGCTACGTACAGTTTGAAGGTAGAGGCAATGGGATTTTCTGTGATGTGGGAAGGGAAGAGAGGATTCATCTAGGACTCCAAGCAAGTAGAAGAATGGAGTTTCTACTTACATATGTGGGGGAAATATGGGAGGAGGACATTCAGAAATTTGATTTTGAACATGTGAAGTGTGAGATGCTTATAAGGCACTTAAGTGGAAAAGTTTTGTAAGTAACTGAATATGTAAGTATGGAGGTTAGGGGAAAAGTCCAGGTTAAGAATTAGCATTTGTGAGCTGTTTATAGATAGTTTCTAAGGCCTTGAGACACATTTAGGGAGTAAGTATATAGATAAAGAGGAGATTTATGATTGAGCTGTGGAGCAGTCCAGCATTTAAAGATTTAGGAGATAATGAGGAGCCAGCAAAGGATATTAAAAAAATACTCTATCTGTAGAGTTACACACACACACACACACACACACACACACACACACACACACACACACACTCTCTTTTTCTAAGAAATCTAAGTTAAGAGTTGAAGTCAGTCTTTGAGAAAGGATGATGCTGAGATTTTTGTGATGTACAAAGAAACCCAAGGAGGAAGGGTCTCTGATAGGAAATGGAACCTCTCCTCAGTCTTTCATAGACCAAAAAATTACTTTGGAATTTGGGGTGAAGACATAGTGTATTATATAATGTATGATAATGGGAAAAGTTGGTACCATGGTTGAAAAAGGAAACATAGATAAAGTAGATAAACATAAACATAAAGTAGATAAAGTAGATAAACATAAACATAGATAAAGATAGATAAAGTTTGATGATGTTAACCTTGTGACTATTAATATAATATCTGCTTTTTTAAAAAAAATTAGCAACCCTAAAAAATTTAGCAACAGACAAATAAAAAGAATAAAATACATCAATAATACCACACTGAGATAACTACTGCCAACATTTTGGTGCATTTTTTTCTAGTTGGTTTTCATACACACATATATATTTAAATTAAGATTATATTATATGTACATTATTGTAGTCTGCTTTTTTATTTGATATAATAGCAGGAATATTTTTGGAAGATTTAATTTCCATATTTTGGTGAGGAGAGAGGTAATCAAAGAGAAGTTTGTGTTAGTTTGAGAAATGTCTGGTTTGATATCTACCAATAAAGTAGAATGATGACTGGGTGTGTATATGAGAGAGACAGAGAACAAGAATGATTCTGGACTTGGTGACTTGTGTCTTGGTGACTGATATGATGGCTGTGCTACCCGTGAGGACTGAGAAAACAAGACTGACCAAAGCTTCGCTTATTTTTTTATGTTAGGGTAGATTCCAGACTTGCTTTCGGTATAACTGGAGCATTGTTGGGTTTTTTTTACTACATGTAGCAGAAACTAAAAGGAAAGGATATTTGGAAATGTTTTGGTTGGTATCTATTTATGTAAACAGGTAATGAAATTAATTGGTGACACGAAGCAGGTTGCTTTGACTAAAGTACTTGGTTTGGCTTTCCCCACCAAAGGAAGAAAAGAATTACCATATTTCCCCTATATTTTTCATGCTGCGGTGGTCCAGTATAGACAAATACACCACCAAAATATCATACGGAGACTTTTCCCATAAATCTGTAAAAACTGTGAAAAGTAATTTTAGTTTATCAGTAAAATGTTAGGGGCGTGACCACAGCAAAATAATTTCTTCTGTTGACAACTATGATGTCATGGATTGCCTCTAAAATAAATGCTTGATGTGATTAGATTCAGAAGATATTGGTAAAACCAGAGCCAGTGAAAGTCCTTTTCAAATGAATGAAATTAATGAAAACAATAGAAACAACATTCAGTTGTAAACTTCTGACAGCAGTAACTGTGTGTGTGTTTCTGTTTATGTATTATGAGCTCTCTTTTTCTATATATGAGTTCTTGACTGGTGAGCACAATTGGCTAGAGAATGGGACTTTACAAGGTCAAGGTCACACATTCCACTAGCCACATAGAAGCAGAAAACGATGTCATACCCATCAATTGCATTACAAATTCTATATGGTCGTTTCATGGACATGTGCTCTTGGTCACGTAAAGACTAGTCAAGAGAGTTTGAGTGGTTCAGTAGCAATCATCACACTATTAAGATAAATAGACGCACAACTTTAAGCATAGATGCCACCCGCTACAGGGAAATGATTTCAACTTTGTACGTTTGTGAATGGCAGTATACACACAGATGCTCACAAATGTGCACACTCAACTGCATCATAGAAGAGAATAAGCCCCACTCGGCCTTGGCTCTAGTATTTAGCTGAAAATATACTATAATTGTCTTTCACTTTTATTTCTACTTAATACTCCATTAATAAAGAAGTTTTAGGTATATTGAAGAATATTACATTCTTTTATAAATATACAGTTATTCTATGTATCTTTGCCATTTGTTGTAACCAAATCAGTGCATCAGAACATAGTTTTTCAAAATCTAAAATAACATCTTTACATCTTGGAGTTTGTGAAGTCTGTTAGGGAAATAACACAACAGCACTGAGAAATTCACTCACTATGTTTCTGCCACTTCACACTGAGGGTCACATGCAATGACGAATACTGAAACTTGCACCACAGATCAAGTTGGAGAAACACTGGTTTCTGATCATTGCATTTTTGCTTAAGAAAAATCTCAGCTTATGGTTTTCTGATATTTCCTTTTCTGATTGAGCTATACCGATAAAGTATAATAATAAAGTACAAAGCGGTGTAAGTTCCCTGCAAATCCACTCATTATCCACTGGACTGTGAAGCCAACTGCCCCTCTCATCTTTCAAGGAGAATTGTGCTTTTATCCTGTTCATTTAGAAAAGAAAAAGAAAAAAAAGCTAAAACGTTAAGTCCATAACCTCTAACGAATCACCATTTCCATCTGCAGCCCTGGCAGTTGTTTAAAAGCAAGAGCAGGAATAGAGAGAAAGCCCCTTCTTTAGTGCAAAACTCTTGCTCTGCTTTAGCAAAACCATTCATACAAACAGTGTGGATCAGCCTTTCAATATGCAAAATGGACGAAGGTACCCCAATTTTCTTTTATAATAGATTAAATCCAAAGTAGTTCTTTATCAGGGAAATCCATTGTAATCTTCCAATTTACCCTTTTAAAAATTAGACTATGGCTAATAAATAAATAAAACATTTATCTAACAGGTTTCAAGTCTTTAGGACAGCTTCATCGTTATTTTCTCGGACCTTTATGCCTCCCAGCCACCAAAGTCTTCACTCAACCCTACCAACAGCCCAGCTGGCCACATAGATAAGAAGGAAACTGTTTTCTCCACGACCTCTAAGCATTCTACTCCAAGGGAAAAGCAACGTGGAATGCACACTCAGCAGGCTGCGAGTCTGGAGCCAGTTTGTCCTCGAGGCATTGCTGCCATAAAACATAATAGGTATCCACTGTGTTTTGCTTTAAGCAGATCCGTCTCCCACTCCCCCTTCTCCCCTTCCTGCTTCTCACTCTGCACCTGGCTGCAATTCACGACCCACACGACACAGAGCAAACAAAAAGCACGAAACAGCAACAGATTCCTTTGTTTTACATGCAAATCCTACCTCTGGTAGTTGTCACATCTTCCTCAAAAGCCACGCTTAATTTTTAATGACAGCGATCCAGTGCAGTCCTCCAAATAGCCACCAGTAATCATCATTACCTCTTGTGCCTAAAGCCTTTCTGGACCATTAATGTCACAACCCTTGCTAACTCATAGCTTTAATACTTCCTGCTCAAAATGTCTGAAAGAGTTTGGAAGGACAATAGGAGTGACAGGCTCGCTAGACAGCCATGCTTGAAATTAGTTATCTGAAGCTCCGTTAAAGCTGCTTCTTACTGTTTTTAAAGCGTGCAGGAGGTAGGATTTATTAGCCTATGATAGGCATGCTGTTTCTGTTTTTTATTAAATACTGTAATAGGCTGTCTGTTAGCAATGCTGTGATAGGTCCAGCATCACTTCCCCACTGCTTTCGAATTCTCATATTAAAAAGGGAGAGAGGGCTCCGACTTCGTTACAGTAAGACTGTAACACCCTGCCTATTGGATCAGATTTCCAAATTCTTTTTAGCTATAAGAGAGAGAATTCCTTTTTCAAATAGGTATTTTTACATGGAAAGTGAAGTTGAGAATCAACATTCTAGGATTCCCCAAACAATTCTTACTCCCAGCAAGGGAATCCTTCCCTTCCCAGTTACAAAAATAAGCATTCTCTAGAGTTAGGTAAAAGGATCAATCCCCATAGGAAATGTTCTCATCATTACTGAGGTAGGATTCAGGCATGCATTTACATAAAATCTCAAATTAGGTATCAAACGGACTGAACGGATCAATGAGTGCATTTATTGTTTCATACTGATTTACAGAGCTTTGTGTTCTAGTTTGAAGCAATCATATGCCCTGTACTACTGTCCAAATGGAAAGAATGAATGCTGGGTGGAAGGGATGGGGAAGTGTACACTACCTTGATCCACTTTGGACAGTCATAATCATGGAAGGTGGAAGAAGGATTTCTTACCATTGGTCAGAGAAGATGGTATTACTTGCTGGAAGTGCTACTCTGAAAAGTTCTATGTACTTTTCCAAACAGGGAAGCAGAAAAAAGTTCTTGGTAACTCACAGTAATGTAGAGGATGTGTCATGCTCTTACTAACCAGATTTAGTCCTTTTCTTCTGCTGTTCTTTCTCCCCTCCTGCTACCCCAGGAGCAATAGTTATATACTAGTTACTATGGAAACAGAGTGGTCTGCTCCAGGGGAGGGGCTTAGGGAAAGCAGCAGATGGAATATGAAGGGAAATGTACTATACTGGCCTATAGAATTGAAAATGAGGTGGGATTAACAAACAGACAAAAACTACTGCAAAACAAAATCTCAAAGGGAATGATTGTAGATCAACACTACTTAATTACTGGTAGTTTTGTTATCTAGAAATACTATTATGATCATAGCATCCATTATTTATTATATGCAAGAACTGAATATCTGAATTGCTCAGAAGTCTGATGTTTTAAAAAAGACACTTTTTTTCCCCTTTCTGTTTTTTTTTAAACTTCTGGATGTTGGTTTGATTATGCCCTGATTGTATGTGAATTTTACTTGTTACCTGACTAGTCATAATTTCTTTTCAAGAATAAAGCGTGACCTAGTGGAAAAATCTCCTTGTATCACAAACTGTAACCATGTTTCATTCTGATTAAGTATTCTTACAGTGGTTTCCCTGGGGCAAAATCAAAATCAGAAAATACTGTAATTTAAATTTCAAAAAATAATTCTGTTCCCATTATGTTGGTAGGACAAAAAGAAGGCTTTTTCAAATTTTCAGTTCTTAAAATAGAAAAAAAAATCATTTTTTGCGTTTTGTACAAAAACTTTCACTAGCCTCATGATCATGCAAGAGAAACTCTTAGCTGAGTAATTAAATTTCACAGTTGTAAGGAGTCTGGGGAATGCAAAATTATTGCCTTTAGTACCACATTTTCACAGTTTGTAATTGCAGTAAATGACACCACTAAAGTGAGAGTACAAAAATTCCAAAATGAAATTGTTGGGAGGTTATTCTTCAGCATTTTATAAAAATCCCATGTTTTTTTCTAATAGGCAAGCATATCATTTAAAAAGTTTGTAATGGAAGAAGGATTATCTCAGGGAAAATGAATTTATGATATTCTCTTTAAAAAATGACAGAAAAATAATATTGTAAATTGTGTATCTGAAATGTTTTTTTCAAATGTAAGGAAGAGTTAAATGACAATCTAAAAACCATTAACAGGGCTTCCCTGGTGGCGCAGTGGTTAAGAATCCACCTGCCAATGCATGGGACACGGGTTCAAGCCCAGGTCCGGGAAGATCCCACATGCCGCGGAGCAACTAAGCCCGTGCATCACAAGTACTGAGCTTGGGCTCTAGAGCCCATGAGCCACAGCTACTGAAGCCCGCGTGCCTAGAGCCCGTGCTCTGCAACAAGAGAAGCCACCGCAATGAGAAGCCCGCGCACCGCAATGAAGAGTAGCCCCCGCTCTCCACAACTAGAGAAAGTCCACGCACAGCAACAAAGACGCAACGCAGCCAAAAATAAATAAATAAATAAATAAAATTTATAAAAATAAATAAACATAAAAACCGTTAACAGCGCCATATTTTGATCCTTGGATGAAGTAAGAGGATGGGACTAGGGCAGAGATGGTTAGTGATGCTTTAGAGAGGCTCTGCCCCCAAAGGAGCAAAGGCCACTTGACCTCTCTGAGGATGAAGGAGGTTTCTGGAAAAGGCAGTTCAGTGGGAGTGGGATGGGGTGGAAGATGGTTTGTTGAAGTAATGGAGGAGGAAGGGAAGCTGAAGGGAGGGAAAG